GTACTTTTCCATTCTCTTTGTTTCCTTCATCCTTATCAATGCTTGGGCACTAAGTGCCTCTTCTAATATGTTGATGGTCATTTCTATCTCCTTGTTCTTCTCAATTCATTTTCCTAGCTCTTCTTCTCCAACATTTGAAGTGGCTACGTTTCTTTGGCTCTGCAGTTGCATTCAACTGGAAATAGGGCATTGGTCCTATGAGATTGTACGAAGGGGCCCTGGCTAGTGATTGAGGAGGGAGTGGTTTGTAAGGCAATAACACATGATAATTCAATCCATTGGCCCTTTAATTGAGAATTGCGGCTCATCCGCTCATTATCTGTTATTATGGCTATAGGGAGTCTATACCTACATATGACTGCTGACTATATGAAGTTACAAACGACCTCTATGGTGGTTTTCATTAAGGCTTTTGTGCTTAGATCCGCTTTATATAATAATCAATTAACACTACAACGAACATTCTTTGACCACTGCGTTAGGGAAAGCTTTTTGAAACTGTAAATAATTTATGGTTATGGCCTTCACATCTTTTCAGAGGGTCGGCTTCAAGTACCCTTTTCTGAAAATTTTGTGCTCCAAGATTTCCCCGTCGGGATTTCTTTCACACTTTCTTGAATGGACTTATCTAAGAATCCTCTCTTACTTGATTTCTCATACACTTCTTAGGTTATGTGAAGTGGTTGACCTTCTGAATAGCTCTTTACCCATAAGCAGGCTTTAGCTCGCTCTGATTTTGACTTTTCATTGGTGAAAGGTGGATGATGGAATCCCTTCTATGGTTAGGTACTTAACTAATGGATCCGCCCAACTCGTTCATACCACCTCCCTGACCATTGACACTATTGTTTCTTGAATGTTAGGATGAGAAATCTCTAATGCTAATTTGCTATTGGGGTTTTTGCTTTTGTAAAGTAAGTCGATGAGTTGAATTTATTCTTTTAGGATTTATTTAACCTTGATATATTCATATTGACCAATGTTAATTTTCAAATTAAAAATATATGTTGACAAATCTTCCTCAAAGGTTTTGTTTTTGTACTAACCTAGTTCATAATGAGCTATGAGTTTGTGAATACGGCCAAATGCCTATCTCTGACTTTGGCCACGAAGCATAGTCTTGTGATCAAGGTTTCTTAGTTTTGATGTTAGTGGCATTGATTGCAATTCTTAGTGCATGAGTTAGGACAATTCCAATGGGATGAGACAAGCCAACTCCAACCCTTTGCCCTCTTAATGTCCCACCAGTATATAGAGTCCATAATAAATTTTCTTTCCTTAGTGCGTATTCTTTGATATAAGGAAGAGTGAAGTCAACCATAAAGTCAATGAGTGCTTTTATCTCTATAGCTTGTTCTTAATGTATATGTAACCTATAACCGGCTCAGCACTAAAGTCCAATTTAATAATCTCCTGAAGTGATTTGTTCTGGTAACTATAATTTTGTGATGACTTGAATTGGTTGTACTTGGAAATAGCGTTGAAATGGTTGAGTTATAATCACCAGTGCCTATGCTAGTTTTTTCATGACCATCTTAGTTTGACTTCTTGTAGGGTTTCACTCATGTAATAGACTAGCCATAGTCTTACGAAATCATCTCCCAATCAGAACTGTAGGAGTAGAACTTCTTTAGGCTACGACTTTGTAAAAGTGGAAGCAAGGAAATGATTGAATTTAAATGTTGGAAGGCTACCTCAAATTTCTTGATCCACAAAATGTTTGGCGTTCCTCAAATTTTTAAGGGCTAGCACTTGCCACCCAACTTTTAGATAAAACAACAGTCTTCCGACTCTTCCAGTTAGTCCATGTACTTATAATTTTTTTGTGGAGGGTATATCTGATAACAACAACAATACCAAATAGCCTTTATCCCTCTAAGTGGGGCTGGATATATGAATCATTTTTCTACACCGCATCCTATTGAGTATGGGTATATCTGATAACAACAACAATACCAAATAGCCTTTATCCCTCTAAGTGGGGCTGGATATATGAATCCTTTTTCTACACCACATCCTATTGAGTGTTAATCTGTCTGTAATATGGGAACTCTTGCATATTTGACACTATATCAGAGCGCTAGTATAGCAGCCCTTGCACACTTTTCACTATATTCAAACCATACAACGTCGCTTCCAGGGAATGCACTAACATTTACCCAAGAATTTAAACGTTTTATGTTATGATTTTTGTCAAAAAATTTATGCTGGCCGTTGATTACCTAACGTAACCCTTTACTTTTCGTATTCTTCAGACTCGGCAATGGAATCTAAGATCTCCTTTATTATTTAAGGATTAACCTTGATGCTCTTAGAGGTGAGCTAATACCCCAAGCATTATCCTAAACTGTCCCAAAAGGTCCACTTTTAAGTTTTTGAGATGCATGTGGTACCTCTTCATTGGGGAGAATGTCTTCTTGAAGTCAAGAATGTAGTGCTTGAGAGTATTTCCTTTACTATTACAACATCGACATGAACTTTCCTTTTATTTTCTAATTTTTTAGCACATTGCTAATTGATAAGAAGCTGTTACAATCAAGTTAAATAATATTAAATTGTAGCAAAATGGACTTTGTTCAATGATGAATGCCATTTTCTGACAATTGACTAAATATATTTCAATCTAATGGTAGCCTAAAAAGGATCAAGGAACCTCATAATGGAAAAATTACCTTCTAGTCAACCGACGCGTCTATCTTAGGTACTGAGTATTTGTCTTTTAGGCAAAGTGAGCTTAAATTGAGGAGGTTCATGCACATCTTCCACTTGCTGCTTAAATTGTAAATTTTTACTATGTTTGAATTCCAATCAAGGTATCATACTTCTTTTTTAATACATTCTCGAGGAGTTTTTTGATTTCTTGCCTTATGAGTCTAGTTAGAGCGGCAATATTCTTCCTTATCTTTTGCTTTACTAGTTTGACATCTTTTTTCACATTTAATCTGTGGCAAAAAATATTGATATTCACCTAATGCATCTCTATGGCTTTCCAAGGAAACACCTCAAGGTCCTCTTGGAGAGCTTGGACCAGTCGTCCATTGTGTTTGGAATTGAAGGAATTGCTGACTTAGAGGGTTTGCCTTAAGACTCCTTCAATTGTTAGGACTTTTTATACTGCTTTGTAGGCTTGTATGTTAGCTTCTCATTCGACCTTGATTGGTGACACATCCTCCTGTAAGTTCCTCACAACCTTTAGATAACAAAACCTTGACTGCGTTAGATCTCCCATTATTGTAGTCTTGTCCTTTTAATGGGAACTTAGACGCAATGTGATATGTAAAGACCATCGCTCTAAAGATATTCATAAGTGGTCGACAAAAAATTGCATTGTAATTTTTTAAGACGTTAAATATAATAAGTCGGCCATTACGGTGTATTATTTCTATTGCTCTCTGTCTCTCGCCCTTCTCTAAAATATTTAAATAATGGGCTGATAGTTGGGGTTAAATGAGAAGCGCCCAGATTTATCTTTTTAAATACATATTTGAAAATAGTATTGATTGAACTCTCCATCTCGATTAGAATAATCTCTATTTAGTAATTTGTGATCAAGGCTATGACGACTACGATTTTTTTTAATGGATTTTTTTTTGCTAGCCTATAATCTTGAATGAAAGTGACTCGTACTACTTTGGTCATGCACTCTCGAAGGTTAGCTTGCTGGAATACTCCCATAGCTGTTCTCTCAAGGATGATCGGTACAAGGCCAGTGATATGGATTGCCTAAGTTGAAACCGGTTTATTTCTTCAATCCTCCATGGGAGGCTTTCCTTGTCTCCTCCCTGGATCAGCCGAAACAATCTATTTTAATTTTTCAGTCTTGATCTGTGTTTTTATGAAAATATCCTTGAGTGCTCGCAAGCCTTTGTGTCCTGTGGAACACCCAATACTTGGAGGAATCCCTTGTGTGAGGTCTCACCCTCGGACATACAAGATATTTTGTAAAAATTTTTTAGTTTTGATGACCATTACTAACTTAGCCATAAACCCTCACAACTGAGTAATTTTCTTATGATGATTATGGGTAGGGGATGTCTCTCTTTGCGGTGTTGTTGAGTGAGGAGTGCTATCTCTTTGTTTGTAGGGGTTGGTGGACCAATGGTTCTCACAAGTCACTTAGGCCGCTGTGAAATAGATTTAGCATGTCATGCATTACTAAATAGAAAAATCATGAGAATAAGTATTGCTGAAACTAATTCCAAATAGTTGAGATAGTGTTAATGATCAGGATGATGATCTTTCTTGTGACAAGTGAAATTTTCTCACATGTGGTGCATTGTTTACAACTAACAGAGTTTTTGTTAAAGACAACATAGGCAGTCATGTCATGCAAAACATCTGCATGAAAAATCCTTGGTTTTTAGGAAACTAAGTTGAAGGAACAAAAATTAAAATGAATATTAAAGAACAATTATTAAAATTACATGCATTTGCATCCGAATACATCTACTCTCCAATACAAGCCGTTACTCTTGCAGGATGATGAATCAAAAATAGTTCAGCTTAATTTAGCCAGTGTCGTCTTTGCTGATTTTTTTCCACTGAGATAAGAGAGTCATCTAGAAGCACAAAATGTGTTGTTGATTGGCTATAATTGTTTTACCAGGAAGTTAAACGTAACTAAGTGCTGCTTATTAAAAGTCAGCCTCAACTTGGATCTATTTTGAGTGCTAACTGAGATAAGAAATTTCATAGCCCTACCAGATTTTGTTTACATTAGATTGAACCTAGTTAGTGGGATAACGGCTTGTTTTTGTATTAGAACCTTTAGTTGTTCTATTTACTGCTGATTGTGGACTGCTTCTGCTGATGGTACACATGATGTTATTTCTAGCATTGATTTGTTTGATCATTTTCTCTATCATTCCAGCATTTGCTGCAGTTTTGTTATATATTATTGCATTGTAATCGTCCTTCAATATTACATACTGTTGTCATAGTTAAATAGTCTTACTAAGAAAAAATGTCATATCATTCACACTTTTAATCGTTGGTGCAAGGATATTAGAAAATGCATGCAAAGATGATGAAGAACTCCGTGCAGTTCTTGGTGATAGCGTGGGGAACCCAGAGCTCATGAGGAAAAGGGTATGTTAAAATATAAGTTTTAAAGCCGCTATTATGAGTTCTAAAGAAAATTAACTGTATCTTTTTCTAATTTGCTTTTATGTTTTTTAGGTAGAAGAGAGGGTTCGCAAGAAAGGCAGAGACTTTCGCAAGTCAAAAACAGGATCGGTTCTTGCTTTCAAAGTTAGCTTCAGGGAGTGAGAATTGATGACTCTATTCTTGGTTATTTATCTTTTAAATTTAACTAGATTGCATAATTCAGATGATGACCTGATTTAAGCTCGAAATAATGCATTGTAAAATCTTTGTTCTTAGTTCTTTTGTGCGATTCAAGTGCTAAATCAAAGAAAAAGTTGTTCCTGAAGAGGAAAGAAAACTAATCTCGTTTCAGTGAACTTGAACGAAAATATTTTGTCAAGCAAAATGACTGTTTGAGGGATGCGCATTTCAATATTTTGTTTAGGATTTTAGGTTCTTCTATATTTGATTTTACTAGGCATTCATCATGGTTAAACTTTGATAATGATGATTTTATTTAATTGATTTTAATATGCTGATTTTGTAATGTACACAATTTAAAATTAATTAATATTAATGCATTTATGATGCAAATATTGTATCTGCATGTAAAATAAGTATATTTGATTGAACACCAGATTAGTAATTATTATGGTCCCACTACCTGAGCAAAGATCAAGAGGCATTTGATTAAGATCTAGAGTTAAAGGAGATTCACCGATACTGGAGTTAACATAATCCACGATGCAAGACATGAATTTATTAATAACTTAAAAAGATGGTTACAACAATGACTCAAAAGAAATAAAGAAACCACGTAAATCAAAACATAAAACAAAGCATTACAAACAAATACCCAACAAACAAAGACACAAAAGCTCGGTGAGGAGAGAGCTAGGGAGATGGGGCTAGTGCAGTGGCTACGGTGAAGGCCAGAGCCATGTCGAGCGACTTGGGAGGAGCAAGACAGCAAGTCAACGCTCGTGGAGGCGTCTAACCGCAGCTGGAAGAAGCGGGAATTGTCGTCGAAGGCTGGAATCTGGAGGCGACAAGTATGTTGGCGGAAGCCGAGGAACATACGCAAGTGTGGCGGCCAAAGTCCAAGAACGAAGGCAAGAAAGGCGGCCAAAGCTGAGGAGCAGAGGCAGTGGGCTGCAGGAGTAGAGTTTGCACTGGCTGTAGGCGCTGGGGTGGCCTGAGAATGGCTGCGACATGCTGGGAGGGAGGCAGCAATGAACTGAACGCCGGAGAGGGGTGCGACCTGCTATGAGGGAGGCGGCAAGTGCTGCGACAACCTGCAAAGAAGCTATAGGGAAGTTGTCAGCAATTTGGGAGAGCAACAGAGGCTGTGACAATCTGCAGAGGGGCTACAGGGGACTGGCGGCACTCTGGGAGAGGGGCAGGAAGTGCGGCAACCTGCAGGGAGGCTGACTGGTGGTGGTCTGGGAGGTAGCAAGGAGGCTGCAGGAGGAGTGGTGGTGCTCTAGAAGAGTAGAAGGGAAGTAGGGAAGCTATCAACTGGATTGCTGGAACGGTTGGAATGTTGGTGAGCTGCAGGTCTACGGGTAGTAGTCGAAATGCTGAAGATAAAAACCACCGCGGACGGGATTACAATCGGAACACCTTCCCGTCATCGGAAACAATCCTCAAGAGTGAAAGCACTAAGATAAAATTGAATTCAGATTTCAAAATGAAGACCCTAACTCTAGACATATCACCTTATATTTATAAAATATTTGACCCAATTGAGGAAGCATTTAAATTAAGAAAGTAGAATAAAAATTAAATCAAGATCTCAAATTTTAGGAAAGGTTTATTAGGAACGGATTTAAATTAGGAAAAGGACTAGGAGGGAAAATAGGAAAAGAAAAGAAAAAATATGGGAGAAAAAACGGAAGAAGGGGCAGGTCTAGCTGACTTGCACCTGCGCCCAGACGGTCCCTTATGAGCCCCACGTCAGTTTCCTGGGGTGGAGAAGCTTCGACCTCATCTATCAAAGCTTCTGGATCCTTAAAGTAAGGAGTAAGATCTGCGACGTTGAATGTGGCTGAAATGTTGTAGTTCTCTGGTAAGTCAATCATGTGTGCATTGTTGTTGAGTTTTCGTAGAATTCTAAAAGGTCCATCTGCTCTTGGTTTTCGTTTTCCGAAAGCTCCTAAGGGGAATCATTCTTTTTTAATCAAATTTAGACGAGGCCGCCATCTTAGAATGTCACTTTTTTCCTTGATTTGTTTGCCTGTGTTTGATTTTTTTTATTTTTTCTACCTATCTTGTTACCAACCTCTTTGTGTATTTGCTAGTTCTCGTGAACCCACTCTATAACTTCTTTACTGAGTTTTGACGTCGGCAGGAATGGAATCAAGTCAAGTGGTGTTAGCGGATTGCGGTCGTAGACAATCTCAAATGGGCTGTGTCTCGTTGTCTGACTTGTGGATCTGTTATAGCAAATTCAACTTGAGCTAGGACGAGGCCCCCTTTGTTTGATCTTCTTTCCTACGAAACATCTTAGCAGGTAGCCCGGGCTTCTGTTCACTACTTCAATCTGGTCGTCTGTATGTGGGTGAGCTGTTGAAATGAATTGGAGTTTGGTGCTTAACTTCCCCTCATAAGATACGCCAAAAGTAACTCAAAAATTTGACATCTCTATCAGAGGTAATGATTCTAGGAATCCCGCATAGCCTAACAATCTCCATGAAGTATAAGTCAGCAATATGAGAGGCTTCTAGTGTGCGGTGATAGGGTACGAAATATGCCATTTTTGAAAATCGGTCTGCTGTAACTATTTTAGAATCTTTGTTCCTCTGTGTCCTAGGGAGACCTAGTACGAAGTCCTGCTAACATTTACCCAAGGTGCTTCTGGTACAGGCAACTGCATATGCAACCCTGTATTCTGCCCCCTCTTGTTTTTGCCAAATGGTAAATCCGGCTTTGTCGGATGTGTCGCTCTACATCTCTTGGTAGTCGAGGCCAGAAGAAGCGTTCTTTGATGAGGATGAGTCTTGTCTCTGTCAAAATGGCCTGCAAGACCTCCATTATGTCTCTCTTGTACAATTGCTTCTCTTAAGGAGCATCTTGGAATGCATAGTTTATTGCGGTAGAACAAGTAGCCATTTGCGCCATAGTACTGCCCGGTAGGCTTTTCCTGACATTTTTCCCAGATATCTTTGAAGTCTTCGTCTGACGTGTACAGTCTTTGACGATCTCAAACCCTATGACACTTGTTTGCATAGAAGTGCTTAATAAATGACGTCTGCTTAGAGCATCTGCGGCGTGGTTCTGGCTCCCAACTATGTTTTAGTACAAAATTGAGTGATGCCAAAAATTTTACCCAAGTTCCGTGCCGACTTTTCAACTTATTCTGGTTATTCAAAAATCTCAATGCTTCATGATATGTAAATAATGTGAACTCACTTTAAAACAAATAATGACTTCAGTGCTCGAGGGCTCAGACGATTGCATAGAACTTTGTTGTATGTCGAATATTTTCTCCTGGATTCGTTTAGTTTCTCATTGAAGCGAGCGATGGGTTGAATTCCTTGGTTTAATACATCCCCTAATCTGACGCCTGATGCATCACATTCTACTTCGAACAGTGGGTAAAGCTGGCAAGGCTAGAAATGACACTTGTGTTACTTTTTCTATGTGTTGAAGTTAATTGTAGCGGTGCTTGGCTAAGTGAACTTTTTGCTTTTTAAAAGCTTAATGAGGGGGCGGTAATAGTGCTGAGATGTTGAATGAAGAGACAGTAGAATGATGCTAACATAAAAAATTGTCTTAGTTCGATGAACAATCGAGGTGTGGTCCAGCTTATAATGTCTTTATTTTTTGTCGGGTCCATTTGAATGCCCGCGCTGGTTTTGATATAACCCAAAAAAACATACTTATCATAAAAGTGCATTTCTTAGGATAAACATATAATTTTTCGTTTCGGAGTACTTCAAATATTGCTGTTAGGTGTTGTATATGTTTCTCTGAATGACTGTATACTAGTATGTTGTCAAAGTAGACTATGACGAACTTTCTAATTAGGTTGTGAAATATTTGATTCATTAATCTTATGAAGGTGTTGGGTGTAGTTTACGGGCCGAAGGGCATGACTGTCCACTTGTATAGTCCATCTCGTGTCTTGAAGGCGGTCTTCCATTCGTTGCTTGATCTCATCCGTATCTGGTGGTATCCACTGCGTAAGCCGGTCTTTGAGAATAGAGTGGCCTCGTGTAAATGGTCCAAGAGATGGTCTAGTCAAGTTATTGGGATTCGATACTTGATAGTTATTTTGTTGATGACCCTGCTATCGATACACATTCTCCATGATTCATCTTTCTTAGACAACATTAGTGCAGGCACAACGCACGGACTTGTATTTTCTCTAACTAGCCCTCTGGTGACGAGATCTTGTACTTATTGTTGTAGCTCCTCGTACTCTGTCAGTCTTAGTCTGTAGGTGGGTCGATTTGGTAGGACTGATTCTGGTATAAGGTCTATGGCATGCTGGATGTCCCTCAATGGTGGTAGTTCTTTTGGCAAATTGTTTGTCATGACATCTTGGAAGTCTTGTAAGTAGTGGTTGTAGGCATGCTGATATTATGTTCTCTTCCTTTGATCTCTCGATTAGGCTAGGATTAGTGCCATCGGAGCATCTCGAACTGGTTATATGAAAGTAGCACTTGAAATGACTGCTTCCTCGGTATCGTTTACTCTTGTGTCCTTACTTGGTAATAACACTTAACGTTTGTCATCCTTCTTGAGTGAGTTGGTATTTTTAAAGCCGTCGTGTTGAGCTTTGGGTTCATATTGCCAAGGTCGTCCTAGTAGGCATGCGTCCATGAGAACGACGTCACACAATACTTGTTCCTTTAATTGGTTTCTTATTGAGAACTCAACAAGGCATTGTTGATCCATAGATTTCATTCTCTTTTTTCAGCCAAGTGAGGGAATAGGATTGTGGATATTTTTGTGTGGGTAATTTGTCATCGTTAGTGTCGATACGACATTTTTCCAACTATCACTGTTGATTATCAGGCTGTAAACTTTACTTTTAACCGTACACTTTATGCGAAAGATGCTTTGTCGTAGCCATGATTGATTTTGTGCTGGTTCTGATTTTAAGACTTGTCGTATGACTAGTGACTTACCTTCATCTTCGGGGAGCTGAAGTGATTCATTATTTTCTTCTAGT